AGAAACCTCGTGGGTTCCGGTCTAGATGAAAATAAAGTATAACAGTTAACGAACAGAAGAGAATCTAAGCTGGAAATGAAACTTTTGAACGCCCTATAAAAAAATCAGTAAAACAACACCTCGTCTCAGAACAAGTTCATCAACAAGAGTTCCAAGTTTAGAATTCAGGACCCACCTTGAAGGTTTTTCTCCAGATTATGTAATTTTACCTTTTTAACAAATATGAGGTCTATAACACAGATTGTATCTTCTACAACACCATGTGTAAGCTTATATCTCCACATTTAATTTGTTCTAAATGCATTTCACTGTGTCCACTTCCATTTATTTTCATTTTGGGGAAAGCACAGTACAGCTGCAGATGATTCAACCACAAACCTAAACTTCTTCTGGAAATTCTTTTGACTTTGCTATATCCAACGAGCTACTTCCTAACTCTTGATCTCTGAAATACTGGATATTTTAGTACAAATGAAAGTGAAAGGAATGTCAGTTGAAAAAAAGAATCGTAAGAAAAAATTCACCTCTCTACTTCTTGGGTACAATAAAATAGACCCTTCTCAGTTATTCACTACTTACCCAATGGTTTTTTGTGCTGTTAACATTAAAGGTGTTTGTCCATTGAAGTCTGTTGTGTCTATGTTCTAAGAATAAGAAAAAAACAACAAGTAAGTGATTACCAGTAATTTCAGGAAACAGTGAGGTGGTCAGATTTGGAGCTATACAACTGGTTTAGCTTCACAAATGAAAAGAAAATGGAAAGAAACCAAATTACATAAGCCAAGAAGCCAACACTTCTTTAAGCATTTTTCTTCCCTCTACAAGTCTTGCATGTCGTTCCTTCCAGAATATTCTGAGTTTCTACTAAGGACACTTTTAAGGGAGAGTCTCCACAAAGGATATTTCCAAGCGAATCATGTTAACCATCTTCCTTGTGTAAACAGAATACATAACAGAATGTCCAAGTACATAAAACAGGTTTATTAAAACAAGAAAAGATTGGTTGATTACGTATCTCAAAACATAAACACTTCACTTGTATTACCTAATTTTCTTCCTTCTTAACAATGAAGGTTTCCTTGTTCCCTGCTTCCACCTATGATTACATTAGAACAGACTTACTTAAAAGAAATTATTAAATACTTGGATTTTTTCAGCTGAAGATAGGTGAACTAACAGCTTTATTAAGTCTGTGATACACATCACTATACCTACACTCCAGAAGGCAGTTATTCTACCAAAGAGAACTCTATAAGAAAGAAAATAAACTCAGAAAATCTTTAAATCCTAACACTCAATGTTTCTAAGAAACAGTCTTGATCATATAAGAACTCTTATCTCATTTTTATTAGAAAACTGTTACACTTGTCATTAATTCTGATTATTTCAGATGTAAGTTGGGAGATATCAACTACCATGGATACAATATAAAATTAAAGAAAACACAGAAATTAATAAAAATTCAGAACCTAGTCTGATGATCTATTCTGCATACTTCAATTGATGGACAATTCCATGGATGACTAGTTACAAAACTGTAATCAAATCATAAATACTTCATGACGTATATCCATCATATACTTTTTGTTCTCAGGTTTAAATGTTTAGTTCTTTTGTTCACATGTGTAAATGCCAGTTGTCATTTACACAGCACCACAAATCTGCATAGCCTTAGCAATGTTCTTTAAATACTCTGAAATGTAGGTGAATCTGAACATGTGGGGATGACAGGAACAAAGAGGACTATTAAAAAAAAGTTTTTTAAATATATATAAAAAAATCTAAGTTTATCTGAACTTATAACACAGAAAAAAGTTATAAAATACCTGCTTTTCATGTAGAAAACAAACCAGCTAATTCTGAAAGGTATCCTACACACAGACAGCTACTCACAAGTAGAACACAACAACTGGGACATCACCAACATACCTGGCCTTTTGATATGAGGTAAGCTATGATGGGCATGTGTTGGAAGAGCACTGCTAAATGAATGCTACTGAATCCTTCCCCATCAATAAGACTGGGATCCGCTCCACATTTCAACAATAATATGACCATGGGTAGGTGTCCTTGTCTACAACGATATATGAAATGAAACTATAGAGATGATGAAACAAATGGGTATTTTAATGAAAGCATTGCCCTAATAATTCTTACAGAGACCCCACAAAAAAACAATTTTCTTTCAGATTCTCATGCTTTTATTCAGGAAAATACTTAAGCTACAAGTTTGTATCAGGAAATTTATATTAAATATACACCTTAATAAATCAGCCTAGGGTAAACTGTTAATTTAGAATACAGTGGTTATTCTACAGTAATCTCTCCTGTAAGCAGTCATCCAAGCATCCAACTCTGGCAGAAGACTGATAGTCCAGAAGAAAGCACTGATCTTCCAATGTGAGAACTGGCACTCAGAGAAGTTATCCCAGAATAATTATTTAAGGTTATGTTTTCTCCAGACAAGCAGTGCTTTGTTCTTTGTACCACACAAAATGCTACTATAGCTTTTATTACACTTGCAAGCAGCATACCTAATGGCCCAGTGAAGGGGAGTAGAATTCAAATCTCCACCCAGCTGATCCACTATCGCACCTTTGGAAATATAATATCTGTGTAGTAACAACACAATAAGATTAAGAACATGATAAGATATAATAAATATATACTAATGATAACATAGCTCTAGTAATGTGGCAGTAGCTTACAATAAAAAAAAATCACTAGAGAAGAAAATCGACAAAAGTTTTTGCAGTAAAGGACACTTTTCAAGAAAATGTTTGAGAAAAAATACAGTCATTAGCAAGGTACTTATAAAATCAGCTGTCATGTTTGTTAAACAAACCAAACCCAGGAAAATGATTTCATGTACTACATGATTTCACATATAAAGAAACCAGGCTATCTTCACATTGCAGCAACATTTCCACAAAGGTTATTGGGTTAAAGTTTGAATTTCATGCTTTTCTTCTCAAGCAGCAGGTTCCTTTGTTTTCAAGTACAAAAGCAACAAAGAGATTATAAGTAACACTGGCAGAATACTTGTGTTACTTTCACAAGGACTCTTGAACTTACTTAACCAGCTCCTGTCTGTTGTTTATTGCTGCCCAGTGAAGAAGAGTCACATTTTCTTTGTCTGGTTGTCGAACATCATATCCTGCTTCTACCAGTTCTCTGCATCGCTCTAGCATTCCATATCTTGAATGAGAAAAAAAAACATCAATTTATTTATCATTTGTTAAATATCCTCCAGTTTGGAGACAGCCACATACTAAAAGAAAGAATAAATCTCTGTGAGTATCACCCAGCAGTTCCTACTTGCACAAATTCCACATTGCAATCAATGGAAGTCTTGCAAAAAGAGCTGGGCTCTTAACAAACCTTCTACTTAACAAACTTGCTTGAAATGAAATACCTTTGTTTATGACAAAAACATTTACAACAGTAGCTGTAAATGATCTTCCTTCACAGAATCACAGAATATGTCGAGTTGGAAGGGACCCACAAGGATCATCGAGTCCAGCTCTTAGCCCTACACAAGGACCATCTCCAAGAGTCAGACCATGTGCCCCAGAGCATGATTAAAACTTCTTCCACTACAGGGAGAAAATGAAACTGAAAATGTTTCCTTTGTAAGAATATCCAGACTGGCTCACATTTGAGGACACTCCCATCTATTTCACCACTTGGCACACTCAGAATGTGTACTTACTGCGTAGCCTTGACAATATCACAGGTGCTGGGGTCTTCAACAATGGGATATGGTCCTGGTAAACCTTTATCCCCGTGGGTGCTGTGATTGTTGTGCATGTGAGGTCGATGAGGTCCATGGCAATGGCCTTTACACTGTCAGTTAACAAAGTATTTATCAGCCATTATTATTTATGGGTTCTACACCACATACACAGCAGTTCTGCCACACCAGAAATCACAGCCCACGGCCTTGGGAAAGGCTTTAAACGCGCTCGGGAGCCACAGTGCCACCCACACAGCCTGAAACCACACGCGATCGAACAGAAGAGGCACAGGCAGGGCAGGACACGGGCCGCTTGTTGCCGGGAACCCTCGCCAGACACCCCCCGGCAGCACCGCGGGGACCGCACGGCCGTCCCGCTCCGGCCCTCGGCGGCCGCGCTCCGCACCCACCGCCCGGGCAGCGCCGGCCCCTCCACCCCGCTCCCGGCCTGGCACTGTCCCCGGGCTCCCCGCTCACCGCCGGGCCGCTGCCCGCCATCCCCGCGCCCGCCGCAGCTTCCTGCTCTCGCTTCCTGGGAACGGCTCCGGGGCGGGGCCCGTGCCGGGCACACACGGCCCGGGCGGGGCGGGACCGGCGCCGTGCGGGCGAGTCCGGGAGACTGGAGTCTGACCTCCCCCGGCCGTGCAGGGAATGGCGGGGAAGCTGTCCCTGACGTTCCCCGGCCGTGCAGGGAACTGTCTCTGACGAGCCGCCACTTCGGCTCGCGCGGGCAGATCAGCGGCTTCCAGCTTTCTTTGGTTGTGCCTGAAAAATGGTTCCTTCCCCTTTGCAGGGCAGCCACACGGAAAAACTCTTTCAGTTTCGCACAGTATATCCCCCAAGGTCGGGGACAAGAAGCCTTTTCTGCTGGCGAAACTGCGGCAGTTGTGCCTCAGCAGCAGGAAGGGATCCCCTGGGGAAGGGTCTGGAGCACGATTCTGATGAGGAGCGGCTTAGGGAGCTGGGGGGGGCTCAGCCTGGAGGAAAGACCTTCTCGCTCTCTATAACTCCTTGAAAGGAGTAGTGCCACCACTTTGCTGGCATGGTTCCCTCAAGGATTCAGGGCCATTTGGAAGTCATGCTTACAGCCCCCAGCCGAGCTCCGATGTCCCCTCATGACACCAGGATGAGGGAGGAGACGCCATTACGGGACAAGCCGTGAGTGGGAGCAGTCACCCCCTAAATAAACGGGGATAACCTGGGAAAACACCCACAGGTGTCAAACACCCACAACCTTCCCGGGTGATGTGGGACCTGGTAGCCCTCAGAGCGACTCCATCTCCTCTGCCCTGAGGAGGAATCCCCCCCCTGCGTGGGGGGCGGTGATCACCAGCTCTCGATGGCGCTGGGTGTGGGCAGAGAGGGACAGGGCAGTCGGTGGGGACTTGGGGACCTCCCGCTCCTGGGGGAAACGTGTGATGGCTTTAGTGAATTAGCAGTTACCCGAAAAGGGAAAATTGTAACGCCCAGCTCAGCCTCCTGCTTACGTCGGACTCAGGACTTTCGCAATCCCCTGAGGGTGGCGTCCTGGCTGGAAGGATCGTGGCTCCTGCCAAGCCTTCAGGTAGAGGCTTGGATAGGCATTCAGGGTCGGCAACTCGCAAAAAAGGGAAGAAAAATGAAAAAGCAGATCCATCTCTGAAAAAAACCCAAATCCTTATTTTGGGAGCACAGGGCAGTAGGCAGAAAGTGGCACAGGCTTTTTCTGGCACCTCACCACTGGGCCTGGGCTGGCACCTGGGTGCTTTGCCATAACTAGACCTGTTACTGCACTTTCCCTCTCCATCAGCTGCCTTTAAGGTACAAGGAGATATTTTGGGGAGCAGAATAAGACCAATACCATGGCAGTGAGCCCAGGATCTCAACAATTGTGAATGAGAAGGAAAGACAGGAGAGAAAGTCAGTTCTTTTTCCCATCTCAAAGCTGAAGCTGAGAAGGGGAACCTCGGATGAAAAAATAGACCATATTAGAGTACACAACTACAAGGAGAACTCTGCCTTCCTGGTCAGCAGGTGCTACTGGGATTCCGTGATGCTGTGTTCGAATAGGAAAGTTTCCAGAAAGAACTTGGGTGGAAATGCAACTTCTTCCACACAGAGTTAAAAAACTGTAGGCTACAAGGTGCAAAGTTATCAAGACTCCCTCCATACCATAATATAACTCCTACTCCGGTTTCTCTTGGAGTCAATACTGATGACTTACAATGCCACGAGCATGTGCTCAGAGCCCAGCCTTGCCTGCCCATTCTTGAAAATTATGAAAGAAAGACTCTGATTCCCCTTTTGAAAAACATGTTTTTTCAGCTGAAGCTGCTAAATATGACTCAGTTTGACACATGGGAAAGGGTCTTGGGTTGTTTTATTTTTGGGGGGCTGTAATAGGGTGCTACAGGTGTATTACAGGTGGAAATGCCTGCCCCACAGCCAAGGGTGGCGGCAAATCTCTTCCAGCGATGGCCTGTCCCAGGGGCACTTGGATAAACACCATCAGATCAGGTGCTGGCACTCTGGGGAGAGAAAGCAGAAAGCAGTGGTGAGTTGGAGAAGGCTCCTGTGCCCCTTGTGCCAGGCCATGCTCTGGATCCCTTTCCCCACCCACGACGTGGTGGAGCCCAGCTCTAGTTCCTTCTCCATCTGAAGAACCATTCCGACGTCTTGAAGGGACGGGGAAAGGGAACTCCAGCGACAGGGTTTTTCAGGCCCCGAGCCTGGAGGGGAGAGGTGCCCTCCCCTCCCCCCAGCACCCACGTGGCTCCATGGCAGGCACAGAGACAGCACACCGGCGTGGAGAGGAGGCAAGAGAGAGTTTATTGTTGGGAAGGGGGTTATAAAGCTTTTAGGAGGGTCAAAGGGGAACCAATCACAAGTTCAGGGTCACACAGAAAAAACCATCAGGTAAGGGGTCAACAACCAATAGGAAGGGGTTAACAAAGGACCAATGGGACACCTCAGGACACCTTTCCCAGGACATTCCTGCGTAGGAGATAACAGTTGCTGTGGGGGGTGTTGGGAAGAAGAAACACGTGTTTGCAAAGAGACCACAAAGAGCCATCCTAAGACATGTTCAAACAAGTTTCTCATCAGACTTAGTGCTACACCATGCCGCATGTGCTCAGTGCTGCACAAGCCTCCTGGCCGACTCTGCGCTGTGGAGCAGAGTGGGATGACAGGACATGCGCCAGCTCCTTCAGCAACTGGTGCAAGATCAGCCCCATCATGGGCCACTTCCTGCAGCCACCGATGGGAGACAAAGCTCCTGCGGAGCTGTGTGAGCACGCTGCTGGTGTGTGCGGGGCCATCTCCCAAAGCCTGAGACCAATCTGAAGAGACCTGCTGCCAGAAGCAAAGCTGCCCTGCCATGATGTCCTCATCCTCCTCGAAGGGGAAGTTCCTACACACCATGACACAGAGCAGCACGCCCAGGGACCAGATGGTCGCCAAGTGGCCGCAGTAGTGGCCAAAGTGGATCCACTCCGGTGGGCAGTATTGCCGTGTTCCTATGGGATACAGGCAGCATTGTTCAGGCAGATGCTGCTGCTGGCTTCCAGAGCCTCACCTGAGCATTCTCTTGGATGCAGAGGCTGCACTGCTGTCCACAACTCCCCCCCCCAACACCGTCCTGCGCTCCCACCCAAGTGAGTAAACCTAAGAAATCCTAACACAAGGCCAAGAAGGGAAGGGGAGCAGCCCAAGCCCTTCCGTGCCTGCAAAGCCAAGGGGCTGGTGCACGGGTTTTGCAGCCCCCCCACCTCTGCTCCCTCCGCCGGGGGTTTGTTTTTGTCATGTTGGTTCCTCCGGCCCCAGTCCAGGGCAGGGTGGGGGACAGAGGCTGTGGGGAGGGCCAGGAGCCGGCTCCTGTTTCCCAACCTCTGTACCGAGCCTAAGAGCAGCTGGCAGCCAGCTGAATCCCACAGCAAAGAGCGGCCAAGGATGGAAGATGTGGTGAGCAGCCAGGCTGGGCCATGCAATGGCTGCGCGTGGGAGCACAGCCCCGGCTGTGGGCTCACCTGCAAAGCATGTGTAGGGCTCATCCCAGAGGAAGGTGGCAAAACCGAAGTCGATGAGCTTGAGGTTGCTGGTGTCCGGGTGGAGGATGATGTTCTCTGGCTTGATGTCGCGGTGCAGGACACCGCAGTGGGCGCAGTGCCGCATGGCCTCCAGCACCTGGCAGAACAGCCAGCATGCCGTGTCCTTGCACAGGAACTCCCACTCCACAAGGAAGTCAAAGTGATCCTGTGCTGGCTCCAGATGCTCCATCACCAGCAGGAAGCTGTCAGGCAGCTCAAGCCAGTTGAGGAGCTGGGTGATGCTGGGGCAGCTTCTCCAGGAGCACGATCTCCGTGGGTCGGTCCATGGGTGCCATCGGGCTGTGGGGAGGAGACAATGGCACCAGTGGGTTTATTGCTGCCCAGTGGTTGCAGTGCCCCCTGGCTGGGATGCTCCAGTGCAGCCTTGTCCAGCCTCCCTGGTGCTGGGCATCCCTGGACCGAGGATGCTCCAGGTCCCAGGGTGACCCCATGCCCGCTCCCCCCAAAGCTATGTCACAGCTTCCACACTCCTGGCCCTGGGCTTATCCCTGCATGTGATGCCCTAGTTTGTCTGGGTGGCCCCACTGACTCACCAACTCGCCCCACTGGAAGAGGCTCTCCTGGGCCACACATCTGATGGTCATCTGCAAACCGAGGGGAGAGTCAGGCTGAGCTTAGCAGCAGCCCCGCCTCCTGGCCCTCCTCCTCTGCCCTGCTGCCGCCCATGCCCCTGAGCAGGACCCATTCCCAGAGGCAGAGTGTGGCTGTGCCATCCTGTCATTGTGCCCACGTATTGGGTTAGACTAGGGCTGGAAACCTGCATCCTATTATCCCATTCCAGTAAAGTATTCCCAGTGACACAGCAGTAAGCGTCCTGGAGTTGTTGGTGCCCAGTCCATGGCTCTGATGAAGCTGCAGCAGTGCCAGCTGGGAACACCATCTGCTTTGTGCCAGAGAAGATCCTCCAGCAGCAAAGGGAGGTGTTCCCATCTCGGGCACTCTCCCAAGCCAGCTGTGGAGGAGCAGGATGAGGACTCTGTCAGCACATCTCGTAGGAGCCTCCATGTCTCCCAGAACTTCCATCCCTGGCAGCCAATAGCGGGGGAGCTGGGGGAGATGTCCAGTGCTGCCCTCCCCATTCAAGGTGGGGTCCAGGGCACCGTGATTCCTGGGGAAAGATGCTCGGTCCCAACCCACCCTTACATGAAAGGGAGATGAGAAGAGCGGGGTACCGGGGGCACAGGACCCTCCAGATGAGATGCCCCCAGCTGTGGGTTCCCCTTCCCTCCTGCTCCCTTCCAGCTCCACGCTGTGGAGCTCAGAAACAAAAAAGAAAAAAAAAATAAAGCAAAAGAAAACAGCTCCTCAGCAGATTCCTGGAAGAAAATTCCATCAAGGGCCATTAGGCTCCTGCGGCTCCTTCCTGCAGAGCAGGGGGGCTGCAGAGATCACAGCGGGGTGGCCCCAAGGACTCGTAGCTGGGCATTGCCCAGGCACGATCCCTCCTGGATCTCCTTGGCACCCCTTCCCCAGGCAAGGATGGTCCTGAATGTCCTCCTGGATCTGTCCCAGGAAGGTCCCTGCTCCCTGGTGTACCTGGGCAGGGGTAGAGGGGACCCCCCCACACACATGCACTCATCTCACCCACTGCCCCCTACGCTGGCTTTGCCCCCTGGGTGCTGACCGCCATTTTTACGGTGTACAGCCCTGAGGAGAAGCCAAGAGTTCCAGGTAAGGGATTAAACCCCAAATCAGTTAAGAATTAACCAAGGGAAAAACAAGGGTCCTGGGCCCTTGTCCTCACTCCAGCCCTGCTCCTTCCCCTGCTGCCACTCCCTGCCCTTCCTTGGCAGTGAGGGGGATGGAGGGGGAGAGAGATGGAGAAGGTGGGGCTTAACCTCTGGAAATGAGTCACCAGCCCCTCCTGGGAAGGTTCCCAATGCAGTGACTGGTTTCCAGTCAGCTGTAGCCCCATTCCCCTGCACTCATTGAGCCCTGTCCAGGGTTTGATCCTGGCCACACAGGAAACACCACTCAGCTGCTTGCTCATCCCACCTTTGTGAGTGGGAAATATGGGTTGTCCCATGGGACAGTGCAAAGTCCTTGAGGAGGGTAAGCCCTGCTCAGCAACAACCCAACCACCCATGTATGATCTACAACATTCCCATTCTGAATCCAAAGACAGCGTGTGCAAGCTACTGGGAAGAAAGGAGCCCTATCCCAGTCATAACCAGACCAGTGTGTTACAGTAAATTGGCAAGTAAAATCTTCTAAGACTCATTTTAGGGCAGGCATTATTTATTTATCTGGGCACACAGGGAGGATCTTTCTTCTAATCGTGTGTGTCCTGTTTTCCCTCAGGTAGGGAAATATTTACTTACAATTTTCCATATTCATCAAATGTCTTACATATATGTGAACTTTCTGAGAGAAGTAGTGTATATGTAACTAGCTCTACGAAAGTCTTCAGAAGTCCTTATTTGGTCACTAGAGGTCTTCTGGTGGTCTCTCGGGGGTCTCTGGTGGTTGTTTGGAGCTTGAACTTGTCCAGATCAAGTTGAACTTGAGCAGTGTATTTGCAGCATCTTTGCTCAACATCTCTTATCAAAAACTTATTTATGTGACAACTACTCTAACTCAAAGCATTCAGAAACTTGCTTATTTTGCAACTACCTGAACAGAAACTTGTATTGTAAAGGCTGGGGGGAAAATTACTGAGCAATGGAGTATTGCTCACGAGTGGGAGTAAGCAGCTAAGTAAGTGGGAGTAAGCTAAGCAGCTCAGATAAATCTGCGGAGCCTCTGCTTTAAATAAGTTTTTCCCAAAGAACTGTCCAACAGAAACCTCTTCCTGGTCCTCAACAACCATTTTTGGGGAGCTCCCCAGAGATGGGGGAACTCCAACTCCCTTTGTTGCTGGAGGAACCTGTCCAGCATAGAGAGGAGGGTGTTGTCAGTTGGCACCTCTGCAGTGTTCTGGGAGCTCTGCTGGTGGCTCCAGGACTCTTCCTGCTGTGCTGCTTGCTCCTTCACTGGAGCCAGCTGGGCTCCCATTTTTACTTCCAGGCCTTTCCTGGTGTCACAGTTTGAAATTGGCCCCCCTTGAGAGTTCGAGGGGCTCAGAGGTGATTGGGTGCCAGGGCAGTGTTCCCTGGAGAGCCAGTCACCACTCATGTTGTTCGCTTCTGCTCAAAAATCATATATCACAGCACTGGAAACGGTTGGCATTGCAGTCTTGGTTGTTTTGCTGTTGGTGTCTGCTGCGTGTAGGTGGACAAGGCCAGGGGGTGGTTGGGCTCCCTCTCTTCCCCTCCGGGGGGGAGAGGGGTGCCCTGCGACCCCCCAACTCAGCCTTTGGCTAGAATTAGAGTCAGCATTTGGAGTGTGTGCTGTGAAGAAAGAGATTCACAGCACCTGAGGTAAGAGGGAGGAGGCTAGGCCTTCTTTCCCCCCCCCCCTGCAGCTGCAGGACACTTGGGACAGTGCATAACTGAACCAAGCTGCCTGTGGCCAAGGCTAGGGGGCTTTTTTCCCCCCACTGCATTTAGGCTGGTGGGGGGTGGATTTTGAGGCTCAGCACTTGAGCAGAGCCAAGTGGACAGGCTGATAAAATCAGCTCAGTGCTTGGGAGAAGAATCCCAGGTGAAACTGGAGACGGGCCAAGAGAGGCTCAGGAGTTGCCTGTCGAAGCTGACTGGAGGCAGCCAAAAACTGACTTAGAGGAATAAAGATTCCAGGACGCGTACGCTTGATAAGCTACACTGCAGCAGCTTACAAACCGAGGTGGGACACCGAGAGGGAGAGATCACCAGCAGCAGGAGAGCAAGGACTCAAAGCTATCTTCTCGGACTTCATGAGGAGGAGAGACTACAACAAACATCTGCTGGAACTTGGTGAGGAGGGAGTGTTCAGGAGCCCAGAACACTCCCACGGCAGACTGTTACATATCAGCCTTAAAGGCTGCTCCTGGACTAAAGTTAAAGGAGGGGCTTGAAAGGACTGACTGATAGTAATGTAATATATATATATATAGTTGCCTTTAGTTTGTATAGTATTTATTTGTGTAAATAAATGTATATGCTTCTCCCTTCCCCTAGAGAAGCCTCTGGTCTGAAAGTTTCTCTCCGGTGTTAGGATAAATTGTTGAGAAGGGGTGGGGGAAGCCTAAAAATTGGATTTTAGATTTCTAATGTAGCTCAAACTGCCATACCTGGCCACGTGCATCTTCAAGGATAAGCAAGTTCTGCTATTGATACCCGCAGCTCCAAGGGAGCAGGGAGACCTGTCCACAGGGTCTTGTTTGTCCAGAGTCCAGCAGGTCTCACTGAGGCTCCCAGAGAGACAGATGCTTACAGAAGAAGTAAGATGCTCAGAGGACTGTAGGATTTTGGAAGGATGGAGGCTCTTATAGGAAGGGAGGTTTCTGGAAAGATGCAGGCTTTTAGAGGGAAAGGAAGCTCTCAGAAAGAAGGAGGATCTCCAGCAGAGGGAGATTCTTGGCTGGATGGAGGATCTCTGTTGGAATGATTTCCTTGGAAGGGCAGAGGCTCTCCAAGGGATGAGGACTCTTGGTGGGAGCAGCCTCTCAGAGGGATGGAGGCTCCCAGAGGAGCTGGAGGAACTGGACAAGCTGTGGCAGGGCAGGTGGCCTCGCTTCACCAGCTCCTGCAGTTCCACCCACAATTGGTTCCACCTGTGTGTGGGGACACCTCTGTGATGTTACAGAACTGTGGGTGGGGACACCTATGTGATGTCAGAAACCCCATCCTGGTCCTCATGGCAGCACAAATGGAGGTGCTGGCTACTGCAAAATCTGAGGGTGGAATGGTGAGATCTTTGCAAGATTTAGTGAAGGCTTTGTAGGAAAAACCAGAAAAGGAATACTCATAGGGATCTGTTAGATGGGAAGCAGTTTGGAGGGAGAGGGAAATGAATCTATTGCTGCAATTGGCCCTTCAGGAGGTGATGGAGCAAGATGAATCTCTGGGAAAGCAGCTGGAAAGAAAAAATCCCACTGCCATAAGGTCACCTGGCTTATGTGTTATGGGAAGGCAGTGCATGTTCTTTTTGGGGATTTTAGTTGGAGTTTTGATCACGTCCCTCACAGAATCCTTTTGGAGAAGGCGTCCAGCTTTGAGATGAGCAGGTACAGGGTGTGCTGGGTGAAGAACTGGCTGCTGTATTGCTTTTTGGTGGGATACTTTCTTCATAGTAACTGGCACAGCACTGGGTTTGGAGTCAGGATGGGATAACAGCTGGATGGTTTGGTTGTTGCTGAGCAGCACTTGCCCTCCTCAAGGACTCTTCAGTGTCCCATGGGACAAGCCATGTCCCATGCTCTGCCAGCGAGGCAGTGACAACATCCTCCTTCTCCTCCTCATGACTGTGTCCTACTTGGCCGAGAATGTTCCATCCAGTCTGTTCCAGAGGGACCTCGAGTACCCACAGGGAGCCCCTTTCTCCCCCATGGAGCCCTGGTGAGCACTGGGGTGAGGCAGGGCCATGTTATGACACAGGTGTCCTCTCCCACAGGACTGACATCACTACACAAGAAGTGCCACCACCCCTCGGCTCCCAGTGTGGTCATGATGGGCCGTGTTGGAGCCATGAGCGATGGCAGCATCCTCCTCTCCTTGTTTGTCCTGCTGCTGGCCACTGCGGCTGTCTGGCTGGCCACTGGCCACTGGCAACAGCGGGTACTGGGGACACCGAAGAACCCAGGGAGCCAGGCCAGGGGCTCTCCAAGCAGCCAAGTAGCTCCAGTGGAAGCTCCCAGTTCCTCCACAGCTCAGGCAACCGCTCCCCAGCATCCAGATGCTCCTGTGAACCCCGAGTACATCCCCTGTGGCTGTGGCCCCAGCTGCACCCCCTGTATGGCAGTGGCCCAGGAGCTGCAGGATTTGGTCATGTTGGTGTGGGTTGGGAATGGGATGTCTTTCCCACTGGATTCTGAGATGTGGCAGGTGTTGTGGGAGAACCTGGAGGAGTTGGTGGAGTGAGGCCACCTGCCCTGCTGCAGCTCGTCCAGCTCCACCAAGAGCCCCCATTCCTCCAAGAGCCAGCTCCCGTGGAGAACCTCTGTCCTTCCAAGAGCCCTCATCCGTCGGCAAGCCTCTGTCTTTTCAATATCCTCATTCCTGCCAAGAACTCGATTCTGTAAGAGATACTCCATCCTTACAAGAAGATCATGCCATAGGAGAGCCTTCATCCCTCTGAAAGCCTCCATTCCTTCCAAGAGCCTCCATTCCTCTGAGAGCTTCCACCTTCCAAGAGCCTGCATTCCTTCCACAGACCTCTGTTCCCCTGAGAGCATGCACCTTTCAAGAGCTTCCATTAGTTCCACAAGGTTCCAGTCCTCTGAGAGCCTCACTTCTTCCCGGAGTCTTCATCCCTACAAGAGCTTCCGTGAGAACTGCCAGACTCCAGATGGAGTAGCCCTCATAGACCACTCTCCCTGCTCCCTTGAAGCTGCAGGTATCAGCAGAACTCACTCATCCCTGAAGATGCACATGACCAAGGAAAGCCTGGATGTAAAAATGGGAGCCCAGCCCATTCCAGTGATGTGTTCCCAGGAGCAAACAGCACAGCAGGAAGAGTCCTGGAGCCACCAGTGTCCACCCCTTGACTCCTGGGATACTGTGGCAGTGCCAACTGGGAACACCCCCTGTGTTGGAGAAGCACAGAAGAGCGCCCTCAGTGCAGGAGAAGATCCTCCAGTGGCAGAGGAAGTTGCAGATCCCCCATCTCCAGGGAGCTCTCCCCAGCCAGATGTTGAGGACCAGGATGAGGTTTCTGTTTGCAGCTTGGATACTTCTGCAGAGCATCTGTGTTAAATAAACCAGCTTCTTCCTGAAGAGCTGTGAGTGCTTCCAGTGGTTTGGTTTTGGCTGGCATAGGGGACATTTTCCAGACCTGGCTCCTGCATCTCCTGACGCTGGCCAGAGTGCAGGAATGAAGAGGAAACATGACGCAGTGGAGCCTGAGTAGGAGAAAAGGCACCATCCTTGGGGACACTCCCTGTGCCGTGGGGTGTCCATCAGCCTGTGGGACAGAAGCGAGAGGACTCCAACCCCTTGGGGGCCTGCCCTCCCTTGATTATCCCCCCATTTTGGAGGGGATGTCCACATGTAAATGGCTTTTTGGATGCACTGAGCTGCTGGACAGGACAGTTGTACTAGTTTTGTGCCTTCTCTGGGGGTGAGGAAATGTCACTGGGAGAGAAATGAGGTGGTGGGGGAGCAGGTGTTTGGGGGACGCGGGAGGGTCATGCGGGGTCCCTCCTAAAAAGTGATGTTACAGCCCCAAAGTGTCTGAAAATTCATGAAGGATGTCTGTGCAAAATACTGAAAACTGTAAAGTTTCTCATTTTTATATATAATGGAAAAAAATTAATTTATTAAAAATAGATTTAAAAACAAAACCCGTATCTGTTGTATTTTTGATTATAAGAAATTCTGGATATAACAGCCCTTATCCCCAGCAAAGAAAGGCTGCAAGGTTTGGCCTTCTGGTGCAGTTGGTAGGCCAGTCTGAGCATTCTATGGGCAGCAAGAGCTTTCTGTGCTGGCATCTTAGGTCTGGTAGTAATCTTGGTCTGAATGCAATCTGGGGAGCTGGGGTGGCAATTTCAGCACAGGGCTGAAAAAATCAAACAACAGCTCCTATCTAAAGGAAAGAAAACCTGGAAGCTTTGGCTTTGTGGTGCAGTTGGTGAGCCAGCATGGGTACTCCATGGGCAACAAGAACTTTCTGTGCTGACACCTTTGGTCTGGGAGGAGTCTACGTCGGTACTGAATTTTGGGAGTCGGACTTGGAGTTGAAGCTCAGGGCTGAAAAAAGCAAACAAGGTCTTATCCCCTCTGCAAAGAAAGCCTGCAAGCTCTGGCTTTCTGACGCAGTTGGTGGGCCACCCTGGACACTCCTTGGGCAGAAAGATCTTTCTGTACTGGCACCTTTGGTCTAGGAGGTATCTTGGTCCGTCTGCAATTTTGAGAGTTGGGCTGGCAGTTTCAGCGCAGCGTAGGAAAAACCAAACCACAACCCGTATCCCGAGGAAAGAAAGCCTACAAGCTTTGGCTTTCTGGTGCAGTTTGTGGGCATGGTTGGGCACTCCATGGGCAGCAGGAGCTTTCTGTTCTGGAACCTTTGTTCTGGGAGGTATCTTTGTCCATGTCGAATTTTGGAAGTCGGTTTGGCAGATTCAGGCAAGGGCTGAAAAAATCAAATAACAGGCCTTTTCCCCAGTGAAGAAAGGGTGCAAGGTTTGGGTTTCTGGTGCAGCTGGTGGACCAGCCTGGGCACTGCATGGGCAGCAAGAGCGTTTTGTGCTGGCACCTTTGGTGTGGGAGGAATCTAGGTTGGTAGGGAATTTTGGGAGTAGGGCCAGCAGTTGCAGAGCAGGGCTGAAAAAAGCAAACAACAAGCCTTATCCCTAGCAAAGAAAGCCTGCAAGGTTAGCATTTCTGATGCAGTTGGTGAGCCAGCATGGGCACTACATGGCAGCAAGAGCTTCCTTTCCTGGCACCTTTAATCTGGGAGGAATCTACGTCGGTACTGAATTTTGGGAATCAGGCTTGCAGTTGCAGCTCAGGGCTGAGAAAAGCAAAAAACAGGCCTTATCCCCTCTGCAAAGAAAGCTTGCAAGCTTTGGCTTTCTGGTGCAGTTAGTGGGTCAGTCTGGGCATTCCATGGGCAGCAAGAGCTTTCTGTGCTGGCACCTTTGGTCTGGGAGGAATCTTCATCCAAATGCAATTTTGGAAGTCGGGCTGGCACTTCCAGCTGATAGCTGAAAAAAGCAAACAAGAGCCGTTTATCCCCAGCAAAGACAGCCAGGAATCTTTGGCTTTCTGGTGCAGTTAGTGGGCCAGCCTGGGCACTGCATGGGCAGCAAGAGCTTTCTGTGCTGGCACCTTTGGTGTGGGAGGAATCTAAATCCGAAAGCAATTTTGAAAGACCACCTGACACTTCCAGCTCATGGCTGAAAAAAGCAAACAAGAGCCCTTATCTCCTAGAAAGAAAGTCAGCAAGCTTTGGCTTTCTGGTGCAGTTAGTGGGCCAGCTTGGGCACTCCACAGCAGCAAGAGCTTTCTCTGCCGGCAGATTTGGTCTGGGAGGAATCCTGGTGCGTATGGAATTTTGGGAGTCGTGCTGGCAGAGGCAGCTCATGGCTGAAAAAAGTAAACAACAGCATTCATCCTCTGCAAAGAAAGCCTCTGCAAAGAAAGCTTTGGCTTTCTGGTACAGTTGGTGGGCCACCCAGTACACTCCCTGGGCAGCAAGATCTTTCTGTGCTGGCACCTTTGGTCTGGGAGGAATCTTCATCCGAATGCAATTTTGGGAGTCGGGCTGGCAGTTGCAGCACAGGGCTGAAAAAAGCGAACAAGAGCCCTTATTCCCAGCAAAGAAAGCCTGGAAGATTTGGCTTTCTTGTGCAGTTGGTAGGCCAGCCTGGGCTTTGCATGAGTAGCAAGATCTTTCTATCCAGGAACCTTTTGTCTGGGAGGTATCTTTGTCCGTGTCAAATTTTGGAAGTCGGGTTGGCAGATTCAGGCAAGGGCTGAAAAAATCAAACAACAACCCTTATCCCCTAGAAAGAAAGCCTGCAATCTTTGGCTTTCTGGTGCAGTTGGTGGGCCAGCCTGGGCACTGCATGGGCAGCAAGAGCTTTCTCTGCTGGCAACTTTGGTCTTGGAGGAATCTTGTTCCAAATGCAATTTTGGGAGTAGGGGTGGCAGTTTCAGCACAGGGTAGAAAAAAGCAAATGTCAGCCCTTCTCTCCAGCGAAGTAAGCCAGCAAACTTTAGCTTTCTTGTGTAGTCGGTGGGGGAACCCGAGCACTCCATGAGCAGCAAGAACTTTATATCCTGGCATTTTTGGTCTTGGAGAAGCCTGTTCCTCCCACACCAAAGCTACATGGATAAAAAGCTCCTGCTGCTAGGGGAGTCCCCAGGCTGACTCAACAACTGCACCACAAAGCCAAAGCTTCCAGGCTTTCTTTCCTGGCCATAATGGCTGTTGCTTCCTGTTTTCAGCCCTGTCTCACATCTGCCAACCGAACTCCCAAAATTGCAGAAGATTCCTCCCACACCAAAGGTACCAGAACAGAAAGCTCTTGCTGCCCACGGAGTCCCCAAGCTGACTCAACAACTGCACCACAAAGCCAAAGCTTCCAGGATTTCTTTCCTGGGAATAAGTGCTCTTCTTTCCTGTTTTCAGCTCTGCTTCCCAACTGTCAGTCCAACTCCCAAAATTGCATACAAAGAAAGATTCCTCCCACACCAAAGGTGCCAGCACAGAAAGCTCTTGCTGCCCATGGAGTCTCCTGGCTTACAAACCAACTGAACCACAAAGCCAAAGCTTCCAGACTTTCTTTCCTGGAGATAGGGGCTGATGTTTCCTGTTTTCAGCCCTGCCTCCCATCTGCCAGCCCTACTCCCAAAATTGCATACAAACAAAGATTCCTCCCAGAACAAAGGTGCCAGCATAGAAAGCTCTTGCTGTTCATTGAGTGCCCGGGCTGACAAACCAACTGCACCACAAAGCCAAAGCTTGCAGGCTTTCTGTCCTGGGGATAAGGGCTGTTGTTTCCTGTATTCAGATCTGCCTCCCAACTGCCAGCCCGACTCCAAAAAATTACATACGTAGAAGGATTCCTCCCAGAACAAAGGTGCCAGCACAGAAAGCTCTTGCTGCTCGTGGAGTCCCCAGGCTAACAAACCAACTGCACCACAAAGCCTAAGCTTCCATGCTTTCTTTCCTGGGGATAAGGGCTGTTGTTTGATTTTTTCAGATCTGCCTCCCAATTGCCAGCCCGACTCCCAAAATTGCATGCGGACAAAGATTCATCCCACACCAAAGGTGTCAACAGAGAAAACTCTTGCTGCCCATGGAGTCCTCAGGCTGACACGCAAACTGCACCACAAAGTCAAAGCTTCCAGGCTTTCTGTCCTGGGGATATTCATGGCTAGGCTTCGCGAACGAAGATTTGGGAAGGCTCTATCCACATTTGCTCCAGGCACGCTGGTGGTTTATGAGGCCAATACGTGACAGACATATCCCATTGCAAAAGGCACAGCAGAAAGATTCCTTAGATGGTGTATTCTGCAATACACGGTTCTTTCTGCGTTGCCTTTTTTCCTCAAGAGTGATCCTGCGAGTGTTCTCGAAGGAGACAGCAGCGTTACAGATGGTGTGTCTCCAGGCCTCCCGATTTGAGGCCAGAGTAGACCAGTTATGGTGATCAATATGGCCAAGGCTGAGATGTTGTTTCAGGGAGTCCTTGTATCTTTTCTTCGGGGCTCCTCTCTTGCGGCAGCCAGTGGCAAGTTCACCATAGAGCAGGATCTTAGGGAGGCGGTGGTCCTTCATCCTGGAGACGTGCCCTGCCCATCGCAGCTGTGTTCTCATCAACATGGCCTCAATACTTGTGATAACTGCTTGCTCTAGAACAGATGTGTTGGTCACATAGTCTGACCAGTGGATGTTTAGGATTGTGCTGAAGCAGCGTTGATGGAAGTGTTCTAAGAGACGCAGGTGGTGGCGGTAGATGACCCATGATTTGGAGCCATATAAGAGAGTCGACAACACTATGGCTTTGTAAACACTGATCTTGGTGCTTTTCTTCAAGTGTTTATTACGCCATACTCTTTTGTGGAGTTTTCCAAAAGCACTCTATGCCTTTGCTAATCTGTTGTCTATCTCTCCGTCGATCTTACCATCTGAGGAGATGAGGCTACCGAGGTAATTAAACTGTTGGACTGATTTGAGCTCCGATTGGCCAATGGTGATGTGGGGATGATGGGGGACTTCCTGAGGTGCTGGTTGATGGAGGACCTCTGTCTTCTTTAAGCTGACTTC